GAATTTACTGATTCAATATCATTTGATCAGTTCATCTTCTTCGGCCACATTGTTACTTTCTTATCTTCAAAATCTTTCATGGTATTAGAGCAATGATAACTATTGCCGAAATGAATTCTGCCACCAATGAAGACTCTACCGCTGCCCAGACTCCTAACCTTTCCGACCATTACAAGTTGGAGAACTCAGACAACCCAGGAGTTGTTCTAGTGACAGATTATTGACTATAGAAAATTATCCTACCTGGTCGAAGGCACTTCGGCGAGCCATCAAAGCCAAAAACAAGCTTGGCTTCCTCACTGGAGCTTTGTCGAAACCTGAACCAGGGAACACCTCATTTGATTCTTGGGAGAGATGTAATGACGTGGTGGTATCATGGATCCAAAATGCCATATCACCATCACTCAGATCCAGCGTTGCTTTCATAGATAAAGCAAGTGAGGTTTGGTTAGAACTCAAAGATCGGTTTACTCAACAAAATGAACCTAGAATATATGAATTAAAGAAGGCCTTAGCTGATTTGGAACAAGAAGGGGATATTGTGAGTATTTACTATAGTAAGTTGAAAACTATTTGGGATGAACTTTCAGTCTATAATTCCATCCCTGAGTGCAGTTATGGGCAATTGAAAGTGATGGTAGACAGGCACCAGCGTGATTGTGTGATTAAGTTCCTCATGGGGCTAAATGAGGCCTATGACAACACAAGGGTTCAAATGATGATGCTTGATCCTCTTCCACCTGTAAATAAGGTGTTCTCCTTCATACAACAACAGGAAAGACAAAAACAACTCACCTTTACTGTCGTGAACAATGAATCAATTGCAATGGTAACCAGCAAAGGTTATGGAGATAATAGAGCTACTAACTATGGAAGGCAGAACTTCACTGGCAAAAAGGACATGACATATTGCACACATTGTAAAATCCCAGGTCATAGCTTGGATAAATGTTTTAAATTAGGAAACATTGAGCCTCCTTTCTACATACATTGCCATATGATGGGACATACCATGGAGAAATGCGACAAGTTACATTGTTATCCCCCAAATTATAAATTGTACAAAGGCCAAAGAAGAGACGGGAGTTTTGCAAATCAGTCAAGTCTGATGGAGGAAGACAATGAGAGACCATTTTCTTTAACTAAGAGAGAATATCAAGAATTCATTGCTTTGCTTCGATCTAAGGAGAAACCACAGACCAACCATTCCGTCAATCACGTGAAGACCATCGACCACTCAAAAGCCAATCCACAAACTGACTTATCTGGTAATGCCACTTGTTTACTTACTTCTACTGGTATTCCATGGATCATAGATACTGGCGCAATAGATCATATGATCTGTGATGCCACCCTTTTTACCTCCACAAAAGCAAGAGCCACTCTCTCAAGCTACATACTCTAGAGAAGTTCAAGTAACAGATTCTATACTTTTGAGGGATGTATTATTTGTTCCTAACTTTCATTTTAACCTATTATCTGTTAAAAAATTAACTCAAAAATACCTTGTTACCTCATTTTTATGTCTAATGCTTGCTTTGCATATGAACTTTTGTCTTAGAGGACGATTGGGAACGGTGAAGCCTAGAATGGATTATATCGGCTCAGATTGAACAAAGTCTCATCTACAGCCTTAGTAACCAACCTTCCAACCCTCAATCTTAAACAACATTTTACAGCTACTTCTGTCACTAAATTTGATGTTCAAGATATTTAGCCATATCTATGGCACTATCGACTAGGACATCTATCTGATTCCAGAATGAAATGTATTGCTGATTCTTCTATTATTTCCCATTTCAAGAATGATAATAAACCTCCTCGTATTATGTGTCCTTTGGCAAAGCAACACAAGATCCTTTTCCTATTAGTTTACAAAAAACTAGGCAGATTTTTGATGAGATTCATTGTGATATCTGGGGTCCATGCCCCATAGCAACTCACGATGGATCTAAGTATTTCCTTTCAGTGGTAGATGATTTTTCAAGAGCTACATGGGTATATTTACTTAAAAGAAAATCTGATGTTTGTCATTCAATTAAGGCTTTCATTCAAATGGTGGAAAATCAGTTTCAAACTACAATTAAAATATTGAGAAGTGACAATGGACCCGAGTTTAAGCTGACTGAATTTTACAATCAAAAGTGAATTATCCACCACAAAAGTTTTGTTGAGACTCCTCAACAAAATGACTTGGTTGAAAGAAAACATCAATATTTATTGAATGTTGCACGAGCCTTGAAATATCAATCAGGATTGCCATTGCTTTACTGGAATGGTTTCATTCTCATAGCCACATATCTGATAAACAGAATTCCCATGCCATTATTGCAAAATAGATCGCCATTTGAAATCTTGTTCTAAAGAGCACCTACATACTCACATCTTCGAATTTTTGGGTGTCTTCGTTTTGATTCCACCTTAACACATGGAATGAGGAAGTTTGATCCTAGAGGTCGCCAATGTATCTTCTTAGGATATCCTTTTAGGGTGAAGGGATACAAAATAATGGATTTACAAACTAAAACCATATTTTTATCTAGAAATGTTGTTTATCATGAAGATCATTTCCCTTATAAAACTTCTGATAAACTTATTGACAGTACTCAATTCATGTTCACCAAACCACTTCCTGACATTACTCATGAACCAACATTTGATGAAGTGTCTGACTTATCCAGCCACAATTTACCTGATCGAACCATTCCTGAAATTGATAATGATAATCCCCTGACATCACCTGTCATTCCTGAAATTGATAATAATACCCAGACATCACTTATCATTCGAAAATCTACAAGAGCAAAGAAAGCACCTCAATATTTGCAGGATTTCCACTGTCATCAGGCTGCATCAAGTCAACAATCCCAATCTTCCCTCAAGGCAAGGTCTTTAGTAACTGCAAGCAAGGCATTCTCACAGGCTAATACAATCTCCTACTATAAATTATCACCTCAATTCAAAGCCTTTTAAACCTCCATTTGTACTCATTCTGAACCTAACACTTCTCATCAAGCCGTGATTGATCCTAATTGGTGCAAAGCAATGGATTCAGGGATAGAGGCCCTTGAGTTAAATAAAACTTGGACCCTCATTGATCTCCCACCTAGAAAGACAGGAATTGGATGTAGATGGGTGTACAAATTAAAGTACAATTCAGATGGGAGCATAGAAATACACAAAGTAAGACTTGTGGCCAAAGGATACAACCAAAGAGAAGGAATAGATTATAGTGAAACCTTTTCCCCCATTGCAAAACTTGTAACAGTAGGATGTTTGTTGGGAATAGCTGCAGTAAAAAATTGGCACTTAAAACAATTCGATGTAAGTAATGCCTTCTTACATGGAGTTCTAGAAGAAGAGGTTTACATGCAAAAACCTCCAGGCTACACAAAGGGAACCTCCAGCCAAGTTTGCAAGCTTTTGAGAAGCATCTATGGTCTGAAACAGGTCTCAAGACAATGGTATTCTACCTTTTCTGCAACACTTATTGAGTTCGGGTTCTCTCAATCGAAAGCTGATTACAGTATTTTTACTATGGCTACAAGTCATTCCTTCATAGCCTTACTAATCTATATAGATGACATTGTAGTGGCTGGATCTAATTTGGAGCAAATAAACCAGTTCAGAACTTTCTTAGTAGCAAATTTACAATCAGAGCACTAGGTGACTTGAAGTATTTTCTAGGACTTGAAGTTGTAAGATCGAGTAAGGGGATTGTGATATCTCAACGGAAGTATACCTTGGATTTATTGGCTGATGCAGGGATGCTTGGAGCCAAACCAGTAAAGGTACCTATGGATCAGAATCTAAAGCTAAGAAAGAATACAAGAAAGGCTCTCCTTGATGCAACACTTTACAGAAAATTGATCGGAAAATTGATGTACTTATCACTGACTATACCTAATATATGCTACACCATTCAGAACCTCAGTCAGTACATGGAAATGCCTACTTACACACATCTCGCTGCAGTCTACAAACTAATCAAGTATCTGAAGTTTGCTCCAGGACAAGGTATTCTATTTTCTTCTTCATCTTCGTTGATCCTTCGAGCCTATTGTGACTCTAATGGGGCGGCTTGCCCTGATTCTCCAAGATCAGTAACTGGTTATTGTGTATTCCTTGATGATTCGTTGGTCTCATGGAAGTCTAAAAACCAAACCATAGTGTCTCGTTCATCAGCTGAGGTAGAGTATAAATCGATGGCTAGCACTTGCTGTGAAATTACATGGCTGAAGTATATCCTAAAGGATCTCCAAGTTCATCACTCACAACCTGTAACCTTGCATTGTGATAATCAGGCTGCATTGCACATTGCTTCCAACCCCATATTCCATGAAATGACTAAACATATAGAGCTCGACTGTCACTTGATGAGAGATCAAATTGAGTCTGGATACATTTCTGCGACTTACATTCGCACTCAATCACAACTTGCTGATATTTTCACCAAGGCATTGTCTTTTATCACCTTACGGTCTCACTTGTCCAAGATGGGAATAGAAAACATCTATTCTCCACCTTGAGGGGGGCTGTTGGAATCTATAATGTAGATAGCTTATCCACCAACTTGATATGATGTATAACTGAATAAGCATATCAGCTGGGATTAGGAATATCTCATAAAGAAGTAAACTTATCAGCCCATTCCATTCTCGTGTCCTTTGCACATGGTTAGGTGCAATTAGATTCCATTTGTTATAGTTTGTTAGGAAGTCTTTTTACTCTTTTATCCCTTTCTTACCTCTATATATCTGTACCAGCAATGATTATGTAATTAAGTAGATTTTACTGATTCAATATCATTTGATCAGTTCATCTTCTTTGGCCACATTGTTACTTTCTTATCTTCAAAATCTTTCACCTACATTATACACATTTGGGTTTCTCCGTTCTGGAGGCTCCAGTATAATAGAACTGTGAAGTTCCTCAAGTCCCTTGTGATATTTATGTCACTTTTTCTGTTTAAGCATGGTTCTCAAAACCTTTTAGCCTCAATGAATACCGTTCAACCCGATATTTTCTGTACTATTTTTGAGCAGTTCTGGATACCCAATCTCAAGCTGATCACAGGTTCACTTGAGCTCAAGTTAGCTTCAGTTGTTTCAATTAGACTCAATAGCACTGTCACTTCTTTCGTGGCCAGAGCAGGAGAGAGTGGAAGAAGAACCTGATGTCCCGGATCTAGGTGAGTCCGTTGGTTATAATGTAGCCTTTGTTCATTTGTACAATGCAGGGAGAAAAGAAAAGGACACCCTGCCGGAAATCAATGACCCAAAGCAATTTTTGGTGCTATATCAAGCAAATCTTTCTGCCCGTTCCCCAGAAATGTACCCCCAAGTCATTAATGAATACCTGGAGCCAGTAAATCGAGCTGCATTACTCAAACTTTGCAGCTCCTGTAATGTCACTATAGTTTGACACGGAAGGCAGAAGCTATCCTGTAACGAGTTTTTGGTGTTTCACATTACAGTTATCGTGTTTTCTGTGAAAATCAATTGTAACTATTCCTTGACATTTAGTGCAGTTGTGGATAGTGATGCTTTGGGACAATCAACTTATGTATTAAAGGGCGATTTGTTAGAAAAGCTTCGATATATTGTAGGTTTTCCTTATCCAAAGCTATTTGAATTCTAGCATCACTTTGTTTTGAGTTCCAAACACAATATTCTGACTCGTGTTCACCCTTCACAAATTGTGCGTTTAGTTTTGAATTCTAAATTTTTAAAGCAAAGAGGATACTTGTTAATGCCATTGAGGAATATATGTTTATCAGGTAATCTTTTACATCTAAGGATGAAAAGATAAAAGTAAAAATCGAAAAAGGTGCCTTGAAATTTGTGTTCTTGTTGAGACTGAACAGAGTGGAAGATTATTATGCAGAGTGGAGAATTAAGTACAACTAGTTAGTTGTTAGCCTTAACCTTTAAAAAGGCTTAAGCCATTGTTTGAGCCACATTTTTTCATTACATTTTTGAACAGTGATTTAACATTATTTCAATTATGCATTATTCAATAAAATAATAATTACATGCAAAATCAAAAATTTTTCTTATTTTTTAACCATACATTCTTCATCATAACACTATTAAAATACATTTTTTTAAGAAAAATGGGGTTCAAACAACCCCTATGGGCAACGAGGAGTTTTGCCTCCGAGACAAAACTTAAACCTTCGTGCACTTTGATGCGTAACCCTCAACACTTGGCATCAAAGATAGATGTTCTTACTTTGACTTTGTGAAGGTCTTTTTCCCTTCTTATGTATTAAAGTTGTCTCAAATTGCCCTTCTTTTGTTTGTTCCGTTGCTTTTGATGAAACTTGTTGACCCTAAAAAACGTAACGCCAACGTGAACAATAGATATCGGGCCCACTCACACCAACTTAAGCAAATTTTAGCGCATTTCGACCAGTGAACCGATGGGAGAAGGGTAACACGTGAACACGGGAGATGCTTTGCGGCTCGAGACAAAAATGTTCGAGCACCGGTGGTAACAACTAAAGTGACTGCGGTAACAAACAATCACCAACCAAGATATAAATAACCTAATATCTAAACTAACAATAGTAGATCAAGCAAGAATATATAGAAAGAATGCTCTTGTCTATTATCTTTTTCTCTGTTCAAAGAACCATTTTCTTTCATGCACAAAGACTACCTATTTATATATTTCTGGCCAAAGTGGTGACCGTTGGATTAGAAACACGTGGCTTCATCCTCTTGGCCGAAGCCTCACATCATTAAGTCTATCATACATTAAATGCATTGACAACGGATTAGCCGCCCTATTCGATAGGCTGACACACATGACATTTTTATTACAGACTTCATACTAATCATTTCTAAAGATTGTATGCAAATTTTGCAAGAGACGTCTTCAGCTTTAGGGTCTCAGATGAACTAAGGGCTTCGGATTGAGAGGGCTTCGTGTTGTGGTCTTTGACACGGAGAGATTGCTTCGACCATTCATGCAGTGCTTCAGCACAATAGTTTCATATGTTCATTTGATCTTTTTACATTTGATCAGTTGATTCTTTTTTGACTTTTCTTTCCACGTGGCATTTTGACCTGAGCCTCCATGGTGAGGCTTAACAAAACTCATATTAGTTAAAGAATATATATAAGATTTACAACTTTGTTGAAAAATGAATTTTGGGCAACCTGCTTTTATAATTAAGAACTGTAACTTGTGGTGGTCCTCTTGGAAAATTACCTGTCAGTAATTTATATATATATAAAAAAAATCTGTTCTATTCTACCTTTTATTGTGGCGAAAGAATTAGTAGCACTATGTGTGTCATTTGTACAATGCAGATAACATTCTTGAGCCGAGCTCACATCATTTAAGCTCGACTTGAGTCATAAGATGCTATTGTAGCTTGGCCTATATATTTTTTGAGCAAGCTAAATGAACTTTCGGGTACCTGATTTGGAGCGGAGATCAATAACTTGCATGATTTGTAATCTAAGTTTTATCTGTATTTTCCCTGATTTCTTGTCATCATATCTTTGTAACTCTATTCCATATTCATATGCGTCTACATATTATTGTGTGTATCACTTGTTACTGGTTTTTCTTTCAGACATGATATTGCAACAATGCCAACAGCCTAGTTTCTAGTAATTTGGTACCAGGGTCTTGTTTTTGTTGTGTTCGTCCATGAGTATGTAACATTTAAATTAAACCTATTCCATTTGTACATCTTCGGGTTCATGGAGTTGGCTTCATATGTGGTCATATTAACTGGTTGAACGGAATCTACTAAATTTGTTCGTTGATTTTGCTTCCTGATGGGTTTTTCATCAATCGAGTTTTATTTAACTTCTTCATGCTACTTCATTTTCTGTCCAGACTCTAGCATTTGGATCGTCTTTTTGTTGTGAAGCCCATGAGGCATATATAAGAGTGGGAATAAGTTGTATCTATTTGGTTTTGCTATATTAGAATTGATTTAGTGTCCTCATTGGACAGGATAAAAACTTCTCACTGTTAATGTGGCATAGAGAACCGTAAGAATAGTTATCTGAATGTATGACTGTTGTAGAGAATTATAAATAAAGTTCTCTTGCCACTTCAACCGTGCTAGTTTTTATCCTCTGGATAGGAGATCAAATCTGTTTGTTGTATATCAATTATTTTTGGGGTGATTCAGTTATGACGAAAGTTAGTGTTGTTGAAACTGGATTAGAGGCTCTTACTTTCAACATTCATCTTTTGCCATTTTAATTTCTGTTTATTTATATTTCAAAGTTGCAGTATCTGTGATATCGTTGTCTTGGTTCCCACTCTGCCTTTCCTTTCTTTCCCATTTCTCATGATTTTAGAGTACATACGATAGGTTATATGGTTATGAATTATGCCTTTGATTTGCCTGTAAATGTAAGAAATTATCCCACATGACGAGACACATATTTACTTAATTATAGGGATTGATAGAAAGATTATCATGAAAAGGAAACTGGTACTCTCTCTAGCTGTAAAGGGTACACAATATCCATTACTTTTGTGCAACTTAATTGAGGGCTAAGCGAGAGAAACTGTTTTCCAGTGTCTTCATTCTTCTCCAAAGGCTTTTTTTTTATATAGGAAATATCCTAGCTTGAAAATCCAAGCCTTAGGATATGACTATTATTAAAATGAAATCAAATACAATGCAAGGAGGGGGACTGATGTACCTTACCTCCAACAGAATTACAAAAGCACCTACCAACTACCGAATGAATGTGCACTATACTTAGTCTATTACAAAATACAACTAGTCTCCAAATACAAAAGAAAATCAGTTAAAAGACTAGCTAGGAACTAATCTAATGGCCTCTACACCAATTCTATCAAGTCTAACAATTCCTTTTATCCTTCCCTTAAATTCTCTAGCATCAATCCATTCAAACTTCCTATTTTTATAACCTTTAGCAGCAAACCAATCCGCCGCTTGATTACCTTCCCTCCAAACATGTGTGATTTTGTATTCCATGTTATCCATATACCTTCTAATGGCTTGTAATATGTATTGGACTTCCCAAGATCCCTTATCCTGCTTAATCAAATTGAGTGCCACCTGAGAGTCCGTTTCAATCCATACTTTCTTGATTCCATGTTTTAGACAAAGCTGCAGTCCCGTTTCAATAGCTCTGAGTTCTGCCTCCACAATAGAACACTCTCCATAGTATTCATAGAATCCCCACATTGCAGTTCCCTTATTATTCCTCAAGATCCCTCCACCTGAAGCTTCAGAATTCTGTTTCAGAGCCCCGTCAGTATTCAGTTTATGCCACCCTATATCTGGTTTATTCCACTTCACTGATGTAGGTTTAAGACACTTGCTTCTTCCTTCCTGTTTGATCTTCCCTGCCCTGTAAAGAGCATCAATCAGTACATTAACCTGTTTAATAATCCTATCTGCCTTGACAGGAAATCTTTTGTGCTTTGAGTTATTTCTGGCAGACCAGATAAACCAGGTAATAGCCAACGGAACTATAATTCGGACCTCTCCAATGCTTGTGTTCTTCTGGAGAAACCAGTGCATTAGCATCGTCCTAGGATGATCACATCTGATATGTTGGATCTTCATAGTCTTACAGAAATACCCCCAGATTTCCTTAGCAATTCGGCCTTCCACAAAGACATGCCTAATGCTTTCAGAGTCGTTGCAACATTGGCATTTGGATGCTAATTGTATACCGTATTTATGCTGAATAATATCATCTACAGGTAACCAGTTGTGCCATATCCTCCACCCAAGAAAAGCAATTTTTTGGGGAATATTCTTATTCCATATATGATCGTATGCCATTTGTCTAGTCTTGCTCTGCCTGAAAAGATTTATACAAGACGAAATAGTGAAAATACCTGATGTATTAGGCTTCCAGAACATCTTATCTGGGTTATTAGTGATAGGGATTTTCCTGATTTCATTCACAACCTCAGCTTGAGTAGTAATATTCAGATTAGTAATATCCCATTCATTATTATTCCTAAACTCCTTTACAAGCTTATTATACGGGATATCCTGTAATAACCTGCCTTGAATATTCCCTGACTTAAGCCATGTGTCATATTGAAAGTTTACCTTGCCTTCGCCAATTCTCCAGGCAATTTGTGGTTCAACTAAACTTCTGGCTTTCAGCATCCTTTTCCACAACCCAGAGTCTTGAATTCTGTAATTAGCAGTGCACGCGTGACTAAGTCTGCAATATTTAGCTTGCAGAACTTGACTCCATAAAGATCTTTGTTCCCTAAATTTCCACCAGAGTTTACAGTCGTAGGCGAGATTCAGATCAGCAATGGAGTTGCAACCAATACCACCTTCTGCCATTGGATAACAGACTTTATCCCATGATGTCCAGTGTATTTTTTTACTTTGACTAGAATCGCCCCAGATAAATCCATTAAATAAAATGGAGATTTTGCTAATGATG